AAAACATTGAGTCTGTGACACAGTCAAAGTCAAAATGTCATATTATCTCCACTGACGAAGGTGTTGGATCGTACGCAAACTCTCGATGAAAATCACTTTCCGCCATGATGCATTTGCAGATTTCACTGCAGTGGCGTCCTTTGACTAATGGGTCAAGTTGGTTATTAACCAATCACAATGCTGTGTTGTACTGACGCAATTCTTCGGAAATTCCCGAAGACTTTCCGGTAACGCAATGCGGAAGTGAATTATCGATGTCGAAGTATGATCTCTTGGAATTGATTTCAGCGACTAAACGACATAGTTTTTCCAAAAAACTAGTAACTAGCCATTTTTGAGAGGTAAACTGAATATGGCATGAAATATTTACCGCATTTTACTTGTATTAACATATCATTGTCGAAGCGTAGTTTACGCACGGTTACCGTGTTCTACGCATTCACAACATGTTCACAGTGGTCGATATCCACGCTGTATCATATAAAAACGATTACCAAGATTCGTTCCGCAAGACCAAGTTTTAAATTAGTTACATTTTGAAGGGGTGGGCGCTTTGCCGAATGTGACCCAGAATATAAAAATTGCGCAAAAGTGGAGGGTGGGCGATATCTCAGCTATCTCAGCCGTCAGGCTGCTTGTCTTGTCTTCTTGATCGTACAACTGTATCAAGATCCTGACAAGTATACAGTTTAATAAAGAAAACCATTATCATTACAAATGATACAACCATGTTAGTTTACAATCTGCATCAAGACAAAAAACAGATGAAGTTTGTTTTACAAGATAAACGTATGGTCTGAACATGATCAAAAGTGGTTATAACTGCTACACTGTTTCAGTGACTTATCTGAAATGCTTATATATACATGTATCTGTATGTACGATGTGTGGCTTTAATTGGATTAGATATGTTTCAACATCTCAGCTTGTAATAAGTATGTTTTTTAAGCATCGTCTCTAGGTGTTGGCTGAGGAAAGCATGCCTTGACATGTAGCTAGGTTTGGTGCCGTAAGTATTACCTTGGATATTTTGGTGCATGTCTTGACTTTACCAATACTGGCAACTGTGTGATTCTAGAATGTGGTTTTAAACTATCTTTCACTATTGCAGTTATCCAGAGTTGAAACCTCTCCAGACATTAAATGCCCATCCAGCTAATTGTATATGCATTGAATTTGATCCTACTGGTAAATATTTTGCTACAGGCAGTGCTGATGCTTTAGTCAGTCTTTGGAATGTAGACGAATTAGTATGCGTTAAGACGTTTTCCAGGTATGGTTGCAAATGTTATTAACCTTTTCACCACCAGTTCCCTCTTTTCATCACAAATTCACAAAATACCCCGGTAGTCCTGTCTATAGTCTGCACTTTCCTTTCCGTTGACAAAAATAGCCAAATTCTTTGAGTAGAAACTGAAAATTGACTCAAATTTTGTCTGGAGGTTCAAAAATTAGGGTTCATTTCCAGAAATATTGAAGAATATAAGAAAAAAGTGCAGAATAATTTGGCCCAGAAAGTCCAGTGGTGAAAAAGTTAAATGTCATGTTTTATGTCAATATACCATATATAAGCTGATGGGAACAGTCTGTTCAAATGACTGTCTGTAGATGACGACTCCTCAACAACTCCTGAATCTTTTGACCACCATATTTGACTACATGTATATATATATAGATAGATGTTAATTATGTCAGCACAGCACACATTGTATACGATATAAACATTTATTTATTTAAAATGATGAAAAAATTTCAAACATACTTCATAAACTTCTAATAAAAGTGTCATCTGAAAGAATTAAATTTCATAATGCTGTATTCAAATTCTAGCTTGTTATTAACTCCCAAAGTCATTTGAAAACAAGGTTTAGTTATACTGAATCTGCTAATTCAAAACACTGATCAATTGATTGTCTTGATATTGGTGACAGTGTTGATGTATAGTCAGAAATCCCCATTGAGATGACACATCAAATATCTTGTGCTGGTAACTCAATGACATACATCTGCTTTCAAGATCTCCAAAAAATCCTAGCATCCACTTCAACCAGGGTTAACTACTGAGAATGCCTTTAATGTAATTGGTGTTTAACATCCAGTAGTTTGTGTGATTTGAATGGCCATTGAAAACTGAGTACTGTAAGATACTTTATTTTTCGATTGGAATTAATTTTCGCTGAAGGAATGATTCAGTGAAAATAAAATCAAGCAAATATTCTTTTTTTCCTATATTTTACATTTAACTCGACAAAATCAGTGAAAATAAAATCCGTACAAAACACGAAAATTAATTCCAGCTATTTCACAGTATTTGAGTTCCATTGGTCTGATGAAGCTGATGCAACTGTAATTTTTTGATGATAATTGCATGACTAATGAAATAAAGCAGCCAACATTCCTAGGTGTTTTTATGGTAGCGGTCTGTGAGATTCCTGAAAGTGTGTAGAATTCTAAGCATCTGTAGAGAAGCAATATGCTTCAAATGCTCACTAGGTCTTAAATTTACTGGTTTGTGAAACAAACAATCCTCGGGCGGAGCTACGTCACAAGACGTTCCACGTTGCTAAGACGTGCACCACTGTACCATGCATTTCTATGGGCTCTGTGTGCACGCTGCTGTGGAACTCCGGTTGAGTCGGTGAAAATTCGAGAAAACAACACAAACTCAACTTTGAAGTAATCCTAAACAACCGAATTCATATGCGTTACACATGCAGAGCTAATCTTGTTACACTGTTCAGGGGAGTCCCAACAACCATCCCAAAGTACCATTTTCTGAGAGTTTTTGGCCTTTGTTTTCACCGCGATGGTTGCCAGGCGGTGAAAATGCCCGGATATCCGCCCGAGGATACATTCTTTTGTTAAAGTGACACTAGCTGTGACTTTGAACATTTTTTGTTTAA